GCAAAAGTAATATCTACGTACGAGTATAATCAATCACAGCTATTATGAATTCTGGACAAAGTTGGAAAAAAGTTAACAAACGCAGTGGTAGTTATAAAGAGCATGTAAGAAAAAACTCCTCGAAATTACGGCAAATAATCCCCAGAATTCCCTGGGTTCTCAAAAGCCAAAATCTCTCGGGTTGTCTGGCTTCTTCAAAGCATTGTTGCCACGTTGATGTAAAAGTTTTACTGTAGTAAATGTTTGTATTGTTTTATTGTTGTTTTTCCAAGTCCTTAGGTTGCCGCTCACTCGTCGGGCACGCATGAAATGCATTGCGTGCATGAATCCATGAAAATCTGATCATGTTTGTTAGTTTAAATACTAATCAAATGAGATTTGGCAACATCTATTTGTCACAAATCTCAATATGTCCAAAATAGTTCTATAGTGCCTGGAAATTCTGCGTAATGATAGATATTTATCCTATACCGTTTTATTTTGCAACAAAGACTTATTAAAGGGATTCATTTATGATAAAATGGTTGCATTATAATTCGTTATGTTTAAGGCAGAATTTTTGTATGGCCTATGGCCACCATTATATGAAGCAAAATTAAAAACATCAAAATAAATTGTAAAATGTTATTTTTGAGAACTATTTTATGATAAGATTCCCACATAACAGTAATAAAGTGTTTACTTAAATTAAAAACAAAAATTTTTGAAAATTTTATTTTATTTTATTGTTTAAATTTATATGTAAACCTTAATCGAAATTAAAGCGCTTTTATTTTTTGCCAAATACATACCTATAATCTACCAGTAAAATTTTCGGCGCAACAAAAATTGTCCCTACTTTTCAAACCCTATTAATGATTTTTATATTACATATTTGTTGTACCTTCTGGCTCTACCCGCCATTTTCATTGTGGAGTAAAGTCTCCTTTTAACAATCCACATCCTCTAGATTCATTTTACGACACGCTTAAAATATAATTTGCTCCTAATATTCTTCGGTAAAAAATAAAATACTCTTGTACCTCGCTAAATGATCAAATGTTTTTATTGTTCTGTTTCTTAGATGTGACCACGTAATACACAATAAAACTAGTTTTATAATAGTCAAATAACGCTGTGTAAAATAGTTGCATAAGAGTTGTATACCCTTTTTATAGAACTTCTATACTACCAAACGGTTGTATAAAAATGGGCCTTTTTTGGTTGTAAAACTATCATATTACGGTCATATAGCACGTTATATGAATTGAGGTATCCTATAAAAATTATCACATAGCTGTTTATACAGTCTTTATAAAATAAAATTTGCTACTTGGGTTATGCTATGTATACCTTATGCCCTATGCATGGAAAATTCGCTCGAGTACTCGATTATTGAAATAACCGACATCGCTCGATTATGAACGAGCGATGCAAGTGACGAGTTACGAGCGACGAACGCAAGCGATTCTATTAAAATCTGATTTTAATGTGACATACTCGATAAAAAGCCGAGCGAATTTTCTATATATGTACATTGCAGGTAGCAAATTTATACGACGTTATCCGTTGCATATATGAGTGACAAAATTTTACGACCTACATCGACAATGCCTTGAAATAAACTAAATCAAGCAAGAGATCAAGCGAATCGCTCGTCGCTTGCTACTTGTCATTCATCACCGAAAGAATATGTACTCTGCACACGCAACTTACTGCTTGACGTTACGAGTACAACAAGCAACAAGCGACGGGCGAAAACCCGTATTTTTAAATACGAGCGATATTTCGAGTACTCGATTATTAAAATCGCTTGAAACTCGAGTACTCGATTATTGAAATTAATCGGTTTTTCCCATCACTAAAAATAACCGCCTTTAAATTGTGGTGTTAGAAAAGGCTGGTAGATCTCAATAAAAGAAACATATTTTCTCTTTACCGTTTTCAAAATATTAAGTCCAAAATAAACGAGATATTTTACTTTGAAAATTTCAAAAAATAAAGATTTTTCGCTTAAATTTTGAGAACCATAAGAACTTTTCTGGGTTTTCTTTCTCGTAAATCTAATCTACTATCTATGTTGCCATATTATGAAGATATTATAATTTTTAATTAAAAAATTTAAAAAATTCCAAATTTCAAAAAAAAATCGCAAAAGAACCTCATAGACCTGTTTCTGGGGTCGGACTATACCCCCTGTATAACACATTGAACAAATATCTCAATTCTGGAATGTTAAAAAAAGACTTTTCACAGTAGTTAGTCAGTCCTATATGAGGTATTTTGACCCTTCATATCTAGAGTATAGCTAGATTAGTTATACCAGCATATCATTACAATAGTACTAGAAGATTTTATAATAATAATGGCTCGCGTATATAGCGTTTAACGCCTTGGTATTAGCAAGGCACAGCTTGCCATGCTAGAGCCGTTTGGTATTCAAGGAAGGTATCGGGCTAGCACTACGCTTCACCGCCTAGTATTACCTCAGGATTGTGAGTACTCATTTAAGGCTGAGTCGACCTAGGTACCCAAACTATTTTAATTTTATTAAAGTCGGTTAATAAACTGCCGGCTGTAGGACTCGAACCCACAACCTTTAGATTGGTAGACGAGAGCTGTACCTCTACGCCACCGGGCACCTACTAGAAGATTTTCTAGAAGAGTTAAAATAAGCACAGCATTTGTTGATAAAGAGCCACTTTGTTTGTCGTTACAGTCAAGGTTTACACTTTGTTTGATCCCTAGAAAAAGAATCGCGATATTTGAGTTTTCTTATATTTATTCCCGTGATCGTTTTAAACTAGATATATGATGTCTCTTCTATATTTAGTTTAGGTTGTATCGATATTTTTTTCTCCTAATCGACATACCTACTTTCACCCGATCCTACTTCGTTCGACCACGTCAAGTCTTAACGAGCCGGGAACAAGAAGAAGATCGAGAAGAGCGCGAGGGGACACCCCGCGGGTCGTGAGATCGAAGGTCAGAAGGTCGAGCGCGCTCCAGAAAAAGTTCCGATTAATAGTTTGTTTGTTTTATTGTTCTGCGTTCTCTATGTGCAATTTCCTGCGATCTATAATCAAAAATAGAGAGATTTACGTTCTCACGATAGAGTAGTAATGATATTAAAAGGAATTGGTTCTGAAAACCACCCAAAAAAAAATGTCGCGATTTTTATTTAGAGAAAAGGAAAAGCTTTGACTATGTTTATGAAATTAGTCTTTTGTGATGATGTGAAACATTTATTCAATAATATAGGTTTTTCTAAATTTACCATACTGATATAATCTAGAAAAAATTGGTAATAGTTAGAGAAGTCTATTAATTAAGTAAATAATTAGTTATTCATAGATGGATGAATCACAAGACCTGTGAATACTAATCCCAAACTATCTACATTATTTATAGTTTACCTGATAACGTCAATTGGAGTAACATAGAATACTAGAAAGATTTGAGATCTAAAAACCCTAAAAATTTTGCCAACGGTTTAATACATAAAAACTTACCTGATATTTTGAGCGTTTCGGATTGCGAAGATCAGTCCTTGTCCTATTACAAAAAGCAGCAATTCTGGGAACTACAGCAATTGAAGGGGTGGCTGCAATAACCAGGCAGGTTCATTTTAATAAATTTGTGGGAAATTGAAAAAGAGCTGCTCGGTTCCTGCTGCCTAACTCACAGCAAGGTAGCTCCAACTAACGTCGCCATTTATGTAGGGGAGAGTTTCCTTGAAACGGACAATTTTACTTTTTTTGCTGTAAAATATCCAATTGAATAAAAAAGATTAAAATTGTTCTGCTAGATTACAAGTTGAGGGTTTGTTGAATGATTTTCCCATAGAAAAGTTGAAAAATAAAGCTAGTCATAACGAAAAAAAAAGTTCAACATTATTTCATAAAATGTCAATTTCATGCCCTTGTTATGGACAGCTATGACCACATGAAATGGACAATGGTACATAAAACGTGAAAACAGGTTGGTAAGTACATTTTGATTTGAAAATAACATTTCAAAAGCACGTTTTACAAAAAAAATGTAAATTTCCAATAATTCCACATGATTTGTGGGCCCACTTATTACACAATCGACACTGGAAAAAATCTTCCTTACTTAAACGATATTCACCTCCACAAACTATGCAAGTATAATCTCTTTCTTTATCACTTTGTTTGTCTTCTTCATTTGAAGAACCATATTTTTCTTGCTCTAGTTGACTTAAATATTCTCCAAGATCTCGTGGAGGTGGAGATTCATCGTGAAGAGAGATTTGAGTGTCAGTGTCTGAGTCACTAGTGCATTGTTTCTTTGCAACCTTCAAAACTTTTTTGTTCTTGGCGACCTTTCTTTTACTTGTTTTTCTTTGTTCTTCCACTTTCATTAGTTTATCCTTTTCAGGTGTGTCTGTTATAATCGAGCATTTTCCTTTTTTTGACCACCGCATTTACTTTTTGTTCGTAAGGGCGCAGTTAGATATGGTCTTAGCATATCCGGAGAAATTATTCCTAACTCTTCTTGTCGTTCTTTCATGATATTTCTGTTTGAAATACCGCTTGTAGAAGGACGATTAAGATCGACATGGGTAGATGGCTGGTCTAAGATATTGTCTTTTTGTGTTAGGTCCACTTTTGACGATAAGACCATTATCCTGGATTTGAGATGTCGGATCAGGTCTGTCAGTTATACTTGAAGGAAGGAAATCATCGTCGGTGAAGATGTTAGAATTAAATGGGTAGATTCCGTTTTTTTTTCAAAGCTCTTGCAGATATTGCTGATTGTAAACGACTCACTAAAAGCAGGATTCACGAACTCAGCTACCTCGTATATTGTTACAGTTTTGCCTGGATTGCTTGTTAACCAGTTGTTCATAGCTTGCTTGTACTTAAGTATAATAATATTAATAATATCAGTGAGAGATATGAAATAATAAAAATAATACCTAGACTTAAACGGACCGTAAACTGCCACATCAAGAGGTTGCATTCGGTGGCTGCAATGCGGAGGCAACGTTAAAATTATTATGTGGTTTTTTCTTGCACACTCAAAACTTGTAGATTCACATGAGATGCGTGATTGTCCATAATAATTAAAGCTTTCTTGTCGATGGTTGGTTGAACATGACTTATAAAATGTTTCAAGGATTCCACAAATATTTCTTCGGTCATCCAACCAGAAGGATTTACCATTCCTTTGGAGCCAACGGTAGCTCCCTTAAGCATATTATCTTTAAAATAGACTCGTGGGAATATGAATACAGGGGGAATTGTCTCCCCTGAAGCATTGATAAAAAAAAGGACTGTTATTAGTGTGCCTCTTTCTGCCGAAGCAATTTGTCCCACTTGTTTCGTACCTCGTACAGCTATTACTTTTGGTGGTTTCGTAACTGTCATGCACCCTGTTTCGTCGAGATTCCATATCATGTTAGGTGCAAAATTGTGTTTCTTATACAATTTTTCTAAATTTAAAAAGAAAGTTGTTGTGTTCGTTTTATTGAAACTGGACGTTCTACTTAAGGATGTACTTTCGGGCTGGCGTAGTGACAGTTCTTTGTGGCGATTCATAAATCCATGAAGCCAGTGGATGCCTGCTTTATTATTTTTATTCCATTCTGGTGGTGTAACTATTTTATTAGCTACTGCAAATTGGTAAGCTAGTTCTCTTGTCTGCGTTGTTGTCAAACCATGACACATCTTGGAGGTTGTTCGTAGGTAAGACACTAATAGCTCCTCCTGGTCCTTAGTTAATGTTTTTCTATTCCCAATATTCCTTACATAGTTGAAGTTGCCTTCTGGGGAGTTTTTATGTTTTTTTTTACCAAATCAGCTAATAAAGATTTCGAAATTCCCGTCCTTTTGGCAACACTCCTTACCGAAAGGTTCTGATTTATAACAGCCTCCACTGCTTCCTGAATTTCTTCATCAGACTTTCTACCTCTTTTGGCCATCACAAACAATCTGCAAAAAAAATGTTTTAAATTAATGATAATTAGCTTCTAAAAACAAAAAAGGGTGCTATCGATAGATTTCAATATTTTCCTTTTGAAAATACAAATACAGAGCGATTACTATTCGTATGTTGTATGGAAAATATCTTAACAACAGAGAATAATTTCACATTGTCCTTGAATCGGACACATTAGTGCCCATGAATTGGACGTCCGATTCTTGGGCGCCGTGGTGCCCGGTTCAAGAAATATGTCCTCTTAGAACTTAACCTCAAAATGCAATTCTCGTCTATCGTTATATTCATAATATCACATACCTGTCTAATGAGAAACAATCCCTCAATATATGTATCCACGGATCGGTTAATAATCGTCACTAGAAACAGAGTTATTCACTTGGCAAATTTACACGAATATTTACTTTACCGGCGACTTTTTTTTCGAAGCGTGCTTTGTCAACATTAAGCGAGATATTAATTCCACCTTTGTACACGAGATGGCGCCTGATGATGCAAACAGAAAGCTTCCATAGACGATGCTAAATTACTATGTGGTAAGTAGCAAACTAGAGCATCCGGTTCATTGGCTGTCCAGTTCATGGCAACTCTCCCCTACTTTTATATTGAGAGAACTGATTGTTACAGGAAACGATTGGCCAATTTTTTTAAAGGGTAATTCATTGAAAATCTGATTTTCGAAAAAAAGCGGAGCTGCCTGGTTATTGCAGCCACTTCTTCAATTGTGAGACGGTTTCTAGCCAGGCGATGTGGAAATGTGCTAACCTTGGTTAAACCCCGGCTAGCGCATATGAAAAACCTGTGGATTTAAAAAAATGGGCAGTGATAGATAAGGTAACATGATAAATAATAGGTGACGGTTAAACAATTTCTGTTTAATGATATCGTGATTAGATGAATGGACCAAGAAGGTTGGCATATCAATTTCAACAAACCGACCACTGATGGATTTCCTTTATAACATCAACTAGAGTGACATAGAACTCTAAAGGGACGGGACAAAAAATAATGATATCGAGTGAGCACCCTATAAGGGTAATAGATTATAGATATAAAAACACAATTACCAAGTTAAGCAAATTACAAGCTAGCTTATCTGAGAATATTGCTAGTTATGCATGGATGTGGTCAGAAGTTCGAGTGCGCTACAGAAAAAGTAGAGTAATGAGTAAATTAATAGTTTGTCAGTTTTATTGTTTTGGAATCTTTATGTTGAATTTCTTACTATCTATACTCCCCGGCACAAAATTTTGTCACTCTAAAAGTTTGACTAAGTTTGATATTTCATAACTTTTTATTTTATAATCTGATTTTTATGATTATAGTATCAATGTGAAGATAAATTTATTGGAAATATTTTTTATTATTTTAATGGCTTATATTCTTCGGGTAGGTGGGTTTATTCCGCGGTAAATGAAAACCTTGTTTTTGCAATAAATTAAAAACACCCTGTGGAAAAAATGAGGCGGCCATTTTGGATAAAAAACACTTTTCTGTAATCTTAGATGTATTCCTAATATTTCATTTTTTGAATTATTCCATTATCTCTATTCTTTTATGAGCTACACATTTTTAAGTAAAATATTGATTTCATAGATTCTTTTATTGACAAAAACAATAATTTTATACATATTTTCAAAAGATAAAATGTGGTTCAAGTCCAAAAAGTATAAACAAACATTCTTAAAAATGACCACAATTGTAGTTTAAGTTAGTTTGCAATTATACAATTTGAAATGCCGTATGATCGAATAAAAACGGCGTCAGTGATGGCTATGAAATGAAGATCGCTGCCATTTTATATGTAAAATTATATGGGAAATGTCATCGATCGTCATTTCATAGCCATCGCTGACGCCGTTTTTATTCGATCATACGGTATACTAAAGCATTGTGTCATGTTTTCTTTTCCAGCTTGTTTAATTTTAATCAAGTAACATTAAAAATCGTTAACGCTCATTTTCTCCATAATTATCTTCTATAGGACTTGATCCAGTTCTCTTCTGAACCCCTCAAATATTATTATTAGATAATTTATAAATATGAGTACTACAACTTCATGAACATCAGTTACATTTATAAGTATCTCAGTACTATTTACAATATATCTCTACATTTGAAACTATTTATTTCAATTTAACAGTGCAACATCGTCACCTAAATATGGCAGAAGATCTTCGGTCGGATGGGATCTCTTACACAATTCATCTCCAAACCACCTGACTATAAGCCCCACGTACTACGTAGTACCGAAAATAAGCGAACCTGTAGACCTGGCCAGTATCATCAAGCCGGACCTCGAATTGGAGAAATGCTGGAAAAGATTGAACTACTTCAATCTGTCACACAGGGGTCGTTTAACAAGTAATTTTAATAGCGTGTATGTGTAGCTCGAGGTTTTCGTCGTATCGAATGAATAAGAGTAGTGATTAATCCTTTAGAAGATAATGCTAGCCATAGGTATGGGAAAGTTTGTGGCGGAATAGAACGACAACAAACAGCTCTTTTAAGTTCATCGCACATATGTTCATTGTATTGAGGTCGGGACTACAAGGAGGCAATTCCAATCTTCGTAGCCCTACCTCATCCAGGTACTCTATAACTACTCGTACTACTAACTCGTTACCCTGCGCAACGTGGGACCTGGCCACTGGCCTGGATTATCATGCATCAGTATATAAACTGATTTCCAATGAAAGGAGCAAATGGAATGACGACTTCTTGGTGGACATCCCCAATAAAACGGTGGGCATTGAGAGCTCCATTTTCAATAAATTCAAGATTGTAAAAATATCAGTACTCTATTTAAAAATGTGTAGCTCAACGAAGAATAGAGATAATAGGATAATTATTAAAAAAAATGTAATGTTAGGAATACATCTAAGATTAGAGGAAAGTGTTTTTTACCCAAAATGCTCGTCCAATTTTTTCTACAGGATGTTTTAAATTTACTGCAAAAAAACAAGTTTTGGTTATTAAACCCAACCTAACCGAAATCTATACGAATATATAAAATACTTACAGGCGTTTTCAGATGGTGCGGAGCGTCCGCGACGGACCGTCCGCGACTTCGAGCTAGTACCATGAGTTTATATGAACGATTTCACATGGGTCGCGTATGCTTCGTCCGGATGAGCTATATTGAAAAAATATACGCTCCGCGCGTACGGTCCGCTCCATCTGAAAGCGCTGTTAAGTGACTCACTGATTAATCACGATCCTGCTCAAACCACTCAACGTAAGAAGCTCAATTTTGGCATACGGATTGATTCTATGGTGTAGAGGTTCGATAAGAAGGGTCGATTCGAATTTCGATTTATCGAACTTCCAGTTCCAAGAGGGTGAAACCACCCCTCAAATATTACAATATTTTTTATTTAAAAAACGGTCAAGTTTCCGAAAAACGCTTAAACACGTATATTTTATTTTGTTTTTTACATATTTTAAGATTTTTTAAAAATGTATACAGGGTGTTTCGAAAAATCTGGTCATTAGTTAATCACGCTTAAAGCGTTTTACGTAAAAAGCTGATTTTTGGAAAACGGATTGAATTTAAGATGTAGAGGTTCGATAAGAAGGGATTTTTCGAAACTCGAATTCTAAGGGGGTGAAACCACCCCTCAAATATTAGAATATTTTTTATTTAAAAACTGGTGAATTTTTCGGAAAAACTCTTAAACACGTATATTTTATTTTGTTGTTTTACATATTTTAAGATTTTTAAAAATTTATACAGGGTGTTTTATAAAATATGACCATTGAGTAATCACGATTCTGCTTAAACTGCTTTACATTTAAAGCTGATTTTTGGTAAACGGATTGACTGTGGGGTGTAGAGGTTCGATAAGGAGGGGTTTCTCGATTGTTTTTTTTCATGCTGACATAAATGTGAGAAAATTTTATCCAGTTTGTATGTTAATGGAAATTCTTGCTTTGCTTTATCATCACCATTACAAATGATTAATTCGACGCGAACGAATTCGCGGCTACACGCTATATATGTAATATAAACCATTAAAATAATAAAAAATAATGCCAACAACTTTTCTACCAACTAATACCATAATCATAAAAATTGGATTACAAATTAAAAAGTTATGAAACATCAAACTTATCAAAATTTTAGGGTGGCGGAATTTTGTGCCGAGGATTTTATAATCACTAGTTCAGACATTTACGGTCTCATGATGAGAGTACTTATGAAAATAAAAAAAAAAGCTGCCAAATAAAGCCGAAGAAGCGATTTAAATTTAGCAAAATGCAAGAAATATCTAAAAATGTGAATTAAAAAAGAGATGGAAAAATATGGTAAATAGCTGTTTAGCCTTCGAGTGATTAATCCCCAACAATAAATTATTTATATTTATGTCAATTCTCAATAACACAAAAAAGTTATACATTTATAACAATTTTCTTCAAACTGAAAGAACATTGACCTGCACCCCTGTTATTTATTTTTTAGAAACGTCTAACATGTTAAGATTAATGAATTTTCAAATATCAACAGATATCCTTAGATAAAGGAATCCCCGCGAGGACAGTTTTTTACCCAACGGTTTAAAGTCTACCATCAAAATGTATTGTATTTCGTCTCAGCAAGAGCCGATAGCTTAGCTGAGAATGAAACCTACCCTTTGTTAGTTTATTTCTTTTTCACTTTCGTAATACCTCACCCCGGGAAGCCACTTATGATCTTTAATTTATACAGTAATTATATGAGAAATCGGTG